ATATCATGGATATATTTTCTCCTGTTTATTATACCTCATCTGTTTTCTCCATTTGGCCTCTACTTACAGTGATATGTTTAGCAAAGCAAAGGATTGAGAATTGTGATATTTATATTGTGTTGTCTGGTTCTTTTCCTTCTGGATTTGGAGTCTGATCTCATAGGATCTATGACTGTATTATGAACTCTCTTTAGCTTCTCTCGAATTTTCCTAATTAGAATGTTTTATCCTCAAAGGTAACAGTAAGATATTTTCTCTCTTAGCACATACACACTTAATATAGGATTGGATACACATTATATACCAATAAAGGCAATGAAATAGAACCATGATTTTTATTGGTCCCACAAAGAATAAACTCATTGTGACTCCTTACCATACCCGTAGTTATATTCCTTATTTTACCATCTACTTGCCTTCTCATATAACTTCAGCATCGCGCTCACATCTTTTCTCCTTTTCTAAACCTCAGTGACAAAAACAGGTAAGTTGAGGATGTCATCCTTCCTTTATCTTAAATCCACATAGGCTATGCATAACATCCCCAAATCTTGGATCCCCAGATCTTGGAGCATTGGTTGCTCCACCTCCCAGGTCTTCCCTTCTTCATGGAACCTCCCATTCCACCTCTCCCTCCCTCATTCTCTCTCCTTTCTTCTTCCTTTTCTTTAGTCAGCAGATAGGTGGAGAAAGCATGTGCTAGGTCATGTAGTCTTGAAATATTCTCTGCAGTTAGATGAATGTTTGAAAGCATGGGATTCCAATGAATAAAGGACAAAGAGGGAAGACAGACAAGTCCACACACTGTGAAGCATATAATTGTGGGGTCTGAGCCAAAGTCCAAAAGGAAAACAAACGAAAAAATAGAAGAATAGGACAACCACCAGTCTGTTCTGTCAAGTAAATAAACCAAAAATGGAGTTTCAAGCAAGTGGCAGTGGTAACATTTTTAAGGAGAGATTGAAAAGCTACCACTGAATATGGAGTTTCAAGAAAGTAGTTTCAATAGAGTATTTGAGACAAAACCCAGATGATGAGTAAGTGAAAGTTGGTACCATCTTAATAAATTCCTTATGGCTAGATCTAATTACAGTTTTGAATGCCTGTGATCTCCCCGCTGCCACTGTCAGCCTCCTGACACGTAGACTACCTACTTCCCCTACATTTCGTATCCAGTCTTTTCAAGCATTTCTTCATTAAGGATACCATAATTTATAAGTATTCCACAAGGCTATTTTTTTTTAAATGTGGTAGGTACTTTTTCCTCTTAGGAACATTATGTTTTAACTTCAGTTTTTACCTCCTTTGATGTAACTCACAAATGTACTAGTCATTTATACTTGGGTATCCCATGACCACTTGCATTTCGCATGCCTAAAATGATGGGAGTATACTTGCCCTAGAGTTGGTGCATACTCTTAATCATTTTTATCAATGGTAGCATCTGTAGTTAAAGTACTCAGAATCAAAACTTGGCTTATCTTGTACCTTATGTAAACCAAAGTTTTATTTAATTTACCTTGTTAAAGTAAGATGTTTTGTGAAAAACATGAGGTTTATGAAATGTTTATCAGGGCATGTGATTGATTTTTTTGTTTTGTTTTGTTAGTTTAGAAAATGAAACTTTTAATTGTAGGTAGAGGCAGAGTTTATATAGAGGAAACGGCCTGATGAATTCATGAAGAAAACTGCTGGCTTTAGGCAAGTGGAGCATAATTCTGAATTCAGGCATATATCTGACATAAAGTATCCAGCCTTTAGTTAGTGAGCATATCTATCACTGTAGAAGCTGTCAGAATGCACCAGTAAAGTGACACAGCCCGGGGAGAAATCAGAAATGGAATATTTTTGATTGACTAGGATGAGCCTATATTACCCCTAACCATATTAGATTAAGTGTACAAAGTATTATTTAAGGTATAGAAAGTTTGCACTACTTTGGAAAAAAGTACTTAGGCTTCAATATTAGCTACTAAGTATATTATTTAAAAAATACAAGGAAAGACCAGGTGTGGTGACTCATCCCTATAATCCCAGCACTTTGGGAGGCCAAGGCAGGCGGATCACAAGGTCAAGAGATCAAGACCATCCTGGCCAACATGGTGAAACTTCGTCTTTACTAAAAATACAAAAATTAGCTGGGCGTGGTGGTGAGTGCCTATAGTCCCAGCTACTTAAGGGGCTGAGGCAGGAGAGTCGCTTGAACCCTGGTTCAAGGAGGTTGCAGTGAGCTGAGATCACGCCTCTGCATTCCAGCCCAGGGACAGAGTGAGACTCTGTCTCAAAAAAAAGATAAAAAATATAAAAAAAGCAAGGATAGGCCAGGTGTGGTGGCTTATGCCCATAATCCCAGCACTTCGGGAGGCTGAGGTGAGCACATCACTTGAGGTCAGGACTTTGAGACCAGCTTGGTCAACCTGGTGAAACCCCATCTCTATTAAAAATGCAAAAAATTAGCCAGGCATGTGGTGCACGCTGGTAATCCCAGCTACTCGGGAGGTTGAGACAGGAGAATCTCTTGAACCCAGGAGTTGGAGGTTGCAACCTGGATGACACAGTGAGACTGTCTCAAAAACAAACAAAAACAAAAAACAAAACAAAACAAAAACGAAAAATACAATGACGCAGAGGGATACATTCCCCAATAATGCACTTGCACTTGGAAGTGAAGGTGAGAGAGGTGGTTCCGCCCCTATTTCTGTGACTTTGGCAGGTTCCTTAGCCTCTTTTGAGACTTTCTAAACCTACGAAGAAATGCATTCAGATCTCTAAGGTTCTAACAGCTGTAGCATTATAATAATATAGACTATTATTCAAAAGAACTTTAAGCCAAGCCATATTTGTACGATTTTGAATTTCCTAGAAGGTACTTTAAACAAAAAAAGGTGAAATTTATAATATATTTTATTTATCTAAAATAGTATCATTTCTATATGTGTTAATTTATAAGCATTGTTAAGATAGCTTATGCTCTATTTGTATAGTCTTCAAAATCCAGCATATATTTTATGCTTAGAGTACATCTAATTTTGATTGTTTATATTCAAGTGCTGGGTCACCACATGTGGCCAGTGGCTACAGGTGTAGTCTCTTTGTTACTGGCTTGCACAGTTCGGAGGTTGTCACATAGTTGCAGCTGTCAGGTGGTCTGATCCCATTTTTTGATCTCTTGGCTGCAATAAAATTCAGCTAACCCAAGAATGATCTGAAACCTTCATGTTTATAAATGAGAAACAGCCTGTCTTTGGTCATGTGGTAAATTTGTGTTTTCTCACTTCCTTGGCCACGTTGACACCTATCCAACTCCCGGTGAGTGTCACCGTGCAGAAGTATTGAAGAGCACACAAACTGATCCCCTGAGGCTCACATACACTCATTATGGCTCCTTAAGGTGTAACCTGTGGTCCCAACCTATCTGGCTTCTGACTTTGATGAATTTGGCTGGATTTGCAAGCCTGGCTTTATTTTAATTCTTTCCAAAGGCCTGAAATTAAATTGACTTCAGCCACCCACTTCATGCTTATTTCTTGTTCTAATGGCTTCCCTAGATGAAGACAACCCAAATGGTAGGCACCCCCATGCCCTGACTCACCACAGCCAATGCAAAGAAGAAAGTATTATTTTTCCTTTAATCAATATGGACAATCATGTCATCCTAAGCCCCTTTCCCCATTCAGCCTCAGCCTAATTATAGTTCATCCTCTCTCATGAGTAAGCACACAGTGTACCCTTGGTGTGGATTCTACATTTAAAGAAAAGGTCATACTTTGACTTTTATCTGGATTTTTAAAATTTTAAACACATTTCTTTTAACACATGTTGGCTTTATTAAGTACAAACATACATTTAAAAAAAGGAAGAATCATCGTGCA